CCCCTCCATCACACCCGGAGCGGGTAAACAGAAGTCCGGAAAAGGGAGGAAAGATCTTTTCTCGCTGCCTCAATGTTGAGTTGAGGGGGCGCCGCCCCCTCGGCTCCCAAGGTGTGTGGGGGGGGGGGGGGGCAAGCGCCCCCGCTGCCCCCCTGTTCCCGGGTCTATGACATAAGCAACACCTTATAGCAGCATCATGATAATTTGTACGCAAAAGATGCATCATAAAGTACACCGAAAACCATGGAACTTTTTAGACGATTGCGGAAAACTTATGGAAATGCGGATAAGCCCCCTCCTCCCTCCCACCGCGTCACCAAGCGTGGGTTAAATAAATTGCAATGTCTCCTTGGTCGGCTGAGTTGGTCATAAACCCGTGTCGGTCATGACCCTCCCCCAAACGGTCCCGTCCAGTCCCCCGGCCCTCCCCTCCCACGACACGTGCCGCCTGCACAGCTCCAGCCGCTGCCTCAGGCGCTCGGCCGGCTCGAGCAGATCAGTCGTTTATCGTCGCCCTCAGGCCGGCAGAGGAGCGCTTTAGGGCGGGGGCGGACCCGCCCTCGGTCACTCTCTCCGCCGCCCCCGTCCGGTGACGTCACAGCTCCGGCGTGACGTCATCACCTACCGACTGGCTGACTGTTGCCCGGCCAGTTCATGCGCAATGCCCAGTGTTGTTAGCGAATTGCGGAAATCATGACAGCATACGCATATCAATGATCATATTCTCGTTCTGACTTGCGAAATTACTGTTCGCTAATCAGTCTGGTCCTGGGGTACCTACCTACGCGGAAAAGTGAGCTATGTGCCAATCATAACGCCAAATGAATGGCTGATAAAAGTAGGTACACATTTGGGTCAAAGAGCAGCACAATGTTCAAGGATCGCTGGCTACAGTCTTATAGTATTTCGCTTATTAACCCTTGCCGGCACAGGCCGGGGGGGATTGATGCAACCCCCCTAAGGTTTTTCGCGAATAGCTCGCGTAAAAGCGGCCGATCGCAACGAAACTTTCAGTACCCTCGCATTGATCAATTTTACACCTACCCTTAAAATTTCATGACCCTGACCCCAATGACCTTTGACCTGTGACCTCTTTTCCGTGACCATGTTTGGCCGAAATTGCGATTCGGCGTATGTCGGCTCTCATTAGCCGCACGTTTGCAATTTTTTCGTGGTTTCAAACGTTCAAACATGTGATTTAATGTTGCTCTCATACATTAAGGTGGGTGTCAAGGTCACCTGAAGGTCAGGTCAGGTCATTGACCTCGGGTGACCTCGGTTCACTTTTTCGAGTTTTACATGTTTCTAGGCTAGTTTTTGGAGCTGAATTCGAATTTAGCAACCATTTGAACATTTACGAAGTAGTTTTGGTGCCTTCGTAACATGTTACGAAGCTGTCAGAGGCGGTTGACACGTATTGTAAACTTAGGGAGAGAGACGGTCGTCCCAGTTTACAGTCATCCGATCGTGGTGATCGGGAAACGTGTTCCTTTCCGAGCACTCGTCAGCCACCAGGGCTCTTCATGTTGCCCTCGCTTCCTCGTCTTCCGTCTTCCTCCAAAGCCTTGGTTTGATGAGTAGAGAAGTGTGTATTTACAAAATTTCAGATTTTACTAATGTACAGCACACACGGACGTTTGACGGTATACAAAAACTACGCGCATGCGCTAGACGGTCTATCTAGTAACATGCGACATGCGCAGCGTGTGTGCGCGGATATACGAGTATACGAATACATAAGCAATGGCGCACCGACACATGCGCAGCAGGTGTGCGCGGCTGTAGGGAACTCCTACACTACCCCCTCCCTAGACGGGTCGCGAACGCGACGCGTCGAGATCGGTCTGGAGGCCGTACTTCGCGATCGGGGCGCGAGCGCAGGATGGATCGCAGCGGAGCTGGTTCCGGTGTTGCTGCCCTTGGAGATGGGCGTTCTGCAGGCGGCGTGTCTTGCGGCAGCAGCTCCATGCTGTCCGACTTGGCAGCTAGTGGTGGCAGAGTCGCAGAGGCAGGAGACTGCTGCGTAGGCTGGTGTGGCGTCTCTTCCGGAGACGCAGGCTTGCAGTGGTCGATGTTGCTGGTTGGCGCGCTGGCGGCTACCGGTTGCTTGTTGGGTGGAGCTGGCGTCGGCGTCGGTCGCTTCGGTAGGTTGCCACGAGGAGATGCGCTGAGTGAGGCGTCAGCGTCGATCTGGTGCTGCTTGGCAGTCTTCGTGTTCCGCACGAAGAGAAGTGTTGCGGCGGCAGATGCTTTTGCCCGGCTGCACGGAGGTTCGCAGCGGCGGGCCTTGTTGCCGAAACGCTGGTGGTACCAGCAGACAGAGCTGTCTGGGTACGTCGGCGTCGGAGGGCGTGACGGGCGAGGCGTCTGACGGCTGCGATGTCGACCTTTGTTGCGGTGGGAGAAACTGCACGGCGCTTTGCAGCGACGCGCTCTGGCACCGAAGCGCTGGTGGTACCAGCAGATCTCGTAGGTTGACGGATGCGCTGGCTTTAGAGGGCGGTTTTCATGGCGTCGTTGATGCTGGCTTCGGCCAAGTTGCGATGCTGCGCCTTTGAGTCGACGCTGGGTGGCCTCCATTTGCTGTACTCGGACGATGAGGGTCGCGATGGTGGCTAGCAGGGCTGTGAGCCGACCTGCTGCCTCGGGTTCGGGTGCCGGCGAGCTGAAGCTGGTTGCGGGAGGAGCGGTGTGCTGCCGGGTGGCATCGCTCGACTCCATGGTGTGGTCCACGAGTAGTCCGGATCACGTCGGGGTCACCAGTGTAAACTTAGGGAGAGAGACGGTCGTCCCAGTTTACAGTCATCCGATCGTGGTGATCGGGAAACGTGTTCCTTTCCGAGCACTCGTCAGCCACCAGGGCTCTTCATGTTGCCCTCGCTTCCTCGTCTTCCGTCTTCCTCCAAAGCCTTGGTTTGATGAGTAGAGAAGTGTGTATTTACAAAATTTCAGATTTTACTAATGTACAGCACACACGGACGTTTGACGGTATACAAAAACTACGCGCATGCGCTAGACGGTCTATCTAGTAACATGCGACATGCGCAGCGTGTGTGCGCGGATATACGAGTATACGAATACATAAGCAATGGCGCACCGACACATGCGCAGCAGGTGTGCGCGGCTGTAGGGAACTCCTACAGTATTACGAATACCCGTCACGACCCCTACCGGTTGACCTGACCTGACCTGACCCGACCTGGTGTAAACGCTTAACGACATCATCTGTGATCAAAACTAACACGATATTCGTGATCAGCACCCCGGAAAACCCCTTCGCAGCCACACTTAACGACTTTCTAACAGGTCCCGATATTCCCGATTTTTGGGCCATTGACCTGACCTGGAAGGTCAACCAATGACCTAGGACCTTAAAATTGGGTATCATTGGCTTGCTCTCGTGACGGGCAACACGCTCGTTTTTTCCGCGAAGCTCTAGCTCCATCAGGGGCCAAACGCGAGGGGGGCAGGGCTGCGGAGTCGGAGTCGGAGTCGGAGTCGGTCGGAGTCGACAGTTATGACCGGAGTCGGAGTCGGAGTCGGAGTCGATTTTAGAAACCCGAGCCGGAGTCGGAGTCGGAGTCACCGAAAATCTGTCGACTCCGCAGCCCTGCTAGGTCTGCGGAGTCGGAGTCGGGAGTTGGAGTCGGTCGGAGTCGACAATTCTGCCCGGAGTCGGAGTCGGAGCTGGTTTTTGAAAGCCGGAGTCGGAGTCGGAGTCGGAGTCGCCGAAAATCCATCGACTCCGCAGGCCTGGGGGGGGGGGTCGTATGTAATGTACACACAGAAAAATATTAACACCGTTAGCGGTGTAATTGCACAGTACATATCTGAGCACTTGAGGAAAGTTAATTTAGTCCCTTCCCCGCTTAAATTACTCGCGCTTCTAAATGAACACCAGGAAGAAGGTAATAGAACACTGTTAGGAGGGTTGGGTGTTTTGCTACATGTAGTAAAACACCCAACCCTCCTAACAGTGTTCTATTACCTTCTTCCTGGTGTTCATTTAGAAGCGCGAGTAATTTAAGCGGGGAAGGGACTAAATTAACTTTCCTCAAGTGCTCAGATATGTACTGTGCAATTACACCGCTAACGGTGTCAATATTTTTCTGTGTGTACCAACGTGGTACCAACAAACCCCTTGTGCCGTCGGACTCAAAATGGCCTGTGCCGGCGAGGGTTAACATTATGTTTTAGGAAGCAAACCAACGCGAACCAACGTCCCTGGGTCATCTGCTCAGCCATGGTATATAATTGCTTTGAACCCATTAATATCTCAATACAGTTATATTTCAAATCATTCGTGGCATCTTCAGATTGATTGGAGATGTCGGTAATCGGTATGTAACTAGATTGGAATGAGAATAAATAGACCTCAACAGACCTCCACCTCCAGCCCAGTGAGCATGCACTTTTTCGTAAACAAGAGCCGCGTTGTAATAAAACATTCCTATGTTCTATCGATGCATCCGTGTCGTTGGATCATACCCTGAGCAGTGCGACGTGCACCGATAGACGAAAAACTACTATTATATGACAGCCGAGGGAGCTGCCAAGCTCAAAAGAAAACTAAAGAAAATACTGAAGTACCAGAGGTAGTTGTCTCAGTGGTGAGACAATGACTCACCCCAAGACTAGTGCAGCGCCCGCCCAGTGGTTCATAGTTCCGAGACGTCCATCCATCTGACCTCAATGCCAGGAAACAGTCGCACATTCCTGGAGACACCGGTCGACAGTCGATAAAGCTCGTCAGTCGGCCGCCGTCCTAACTGTCCGAAAGACAGTGGACGGGAATCACCATACCGAGCTGCGCTATCAGCAGATTGTGCGCAACAAAGCTGTGGCCACATCAGCGATGACGAAACGCTCATTGTAAGAATGTGACTGCGCCGGCAGTCGCTGCTGACTTACTGGCGAGCCGCGCTCCAAATACGGAGTCCTTTCATCCCGCACGGCGGTAGCCCGCCACGAGGCCAACAACTATCGAAGGTATGACAAAATCATCCGAAATCATCGTATTGATGGTCTTCCGTCTCTGCTCAGATGAATTGGGTGACCAGCGAGACGCAGTCGTCAACAACACATGTCAAATAACGGTGAGCGCGACAAACAATGGCAACACTTCAAATAAAGTCATGACAGCATCGCACCCCATGTCTTCACGCTGCAGCCCCCACATCAAAACCAACATTAAAAGGAGCTCCACTCTCATACCCGCAACCCTTTCTCACAATTCTCCCTGTGCTCAAACCCCAAATCACTCTCCAACTGCTCGCCGAGCAGACAATCATCTCCCCCCCCCCCCTCCCCAACACACACAGTTACCTCACTCGTCATCGTCCAGGCTCTGGAGCACACTGCGCGCGCGCCGGTACGCCCGTTTGGTGGGCTTGTCCCTGCCGATGGCCTCGCGCGCCTGTTCGCGCGTCTGTCCCTCTGCGCGCAGCGACGGCCACCGGTCGCGCGCCTCTACCACAGCTCGCATCTCGTCGGCCAGCCGGCCGCGGGCGGCCCCGCGCACCGACACCGCGTACTCGAGCACCAGCGGAAAGTCGGCCTTGCTGATCTGCCGGGCCGCCGCGGGCAGGTTAGATGGAGTGCACAGCGGAGACGGCGGGGGTAAGACAATAATGGTCAGAAATTGGGTAGTAACAAGTCCAGTGGTGGGCACTCGTAACTTGACCGAGACTTCAATAACGATAATTCGATAACCTTTTTCGAGGTCGGTGACTTCAATAACGATAACTCGATAACCAAAACGGTCACTTCGATAACGCGCTAACGATAACGATAACTTCAAAAAAGAAAGAAATCGAAAGACTTAAATATCTGAAGGTAATAAGTTTCTAAATAATATCTAGTCCCTTAAATATTCCTTAAATAAGGAAGCGTTCCTCGAAAAACTTGAATATCTTTGGCGACAGAGCTTGTTGTGCCGAAAGACGTTCCAAATAGCTTTTTTCCCGCGCTCAATCTACAAAGCTGCTATCTCAGTTCAAAACCCCATGATGTTGAGGGTGAACTATTCCCTTTAATACGCTTGCGTCGCATTTGATGAAGTTATCGTTATCGATTGACCAAAACGGGGACCTCGATAACGCTACATCGACAACGATAATCAATGACGATAAACTTCAAAAACGTTATCGTCGATAACGACTTCGATAATCGCTATCGATGAGAGTTTCGAAGTGCCTACCACTGGAAAAACGAATAGCATTGGCAGAGGATGTCGGCTCCAGATTACGACATTTTTATGGGTACAGCCTGAATAGACTCGTCAATATTTTTTTTTTGCGTGTGTGCGAATAACGACATTTGTCAATATCAATACCTTCAGGCTAAGACAAGTTTTTTTTTTATAAATCTTAAATAGCCCAAAAGTCAAAACTATCAGAGAACAACTCAAATTAATTTCAATATCTGTGGAAACGATAAGTTGCAATACCAATATGAAAAGCTGTATGGTACTGGCATGTCAAGCAGTAATGCTGCGGCATGTCATGCAGCAGAATCAGTACAAACATATTATTTCTGGCATCTAGAGGTCACCTGATGATGCAAATTAAAGACTTCACTACTCTGAGTACTCACTTTGGTGTCGTCCAATAGATTCTGTAGAATCCATGATTGCACCAGCGTTTGGAACTTCCAGTTGGACTTATCTTCCTTCCACTGAGTGACGTAGCTGATTGCATACTCGGGCGTGGTCTTCTTAACCGCAGCAGGTGACTGATCGGGCGTCATTTGCGGCTTGTTCTTTTTTACCCTGTTCTTGCGCTTTTCCCGTTTCAGAGCCTTGTTTGCTTCAGCGATCTTTTTCTGTTTTTCCTTCTGGGCGTCGGTCTGCTTTTTGAGCATATTGTCCGGGATCGGCACAGCGCCGGCCAGCGTCTGGGCGTCACCTGTGGCTGTGTCCGAAGTCTTACCCGCCTTTGCCGGAGGATCATCGCCGACATCTTCGCTCGGTGCCAGCTTCTTACGTTTCTTTGCTTTCTTCTCTGCCATCCTTTACGAACGCGTGAAGCGATCTAGCTTACTGAGATCGTCCCTTCTATTTCAGAGTCAGAAATCTGCAGGAGAAATGGCGATTTAGTTGTAACAGATAAATAGACACCTCTGACTGTAGGGACTACAGTTTAGACACTTGACTTCTGGCACTAAGTGATTGGGATTGAGGGATCATGCAACCTTGTGGGAGTGGCAAGGGAGTAATGAACACCGTGGGGCATTCTCCCAAAACCTCTACGTTCTAATACAACTCATCGAATTTGCTCCTTTATACGTGTTTGTATGATGTAAATTAACTCCTCCATTTTCCATCCGAAGTTTTCTAGGGGCGAACAATATCAATAATTCGGACGTCGTAGGAGAGCAAAAACACCCCACTATCCCCTTTCCCAGGGTAAAAAAGTAAGCCCACCAGTATGAAGCATCAGGTCTTCCATTGCACACGGCAACTAAAAGCACAGTGAATGCTCATTGCGGGTTGGACACGGTAGCAGCATAATAAATTATAAGACAAAACCATTTATAAAACGTTGTCCAAGGGGCCGGTGACAGTGTCCAACACCAATGCGCACGGACCGGCCGGCGGCCGCACTAGCCCCACCTGACTGGGCGCCGCCAAAACTCCGAGACGAAAGGCGAACATCGGTGCAGGCGGCGCCACTGCACCGTCACAGACACAGCTGACTCACGCTACCGTTCACTTATCGTGTTTGTTCCGGCTCCGGGTACGAGTCTGGTAAATCCAACACGATGGAATGATGGTAGAAAAATTTGTACCTAGTCAGTCACCTGGACGTTGACTCCAAGTATAACGCTGGTCACCAGTATAACAAGGTCCGGAGACCCCTACTTCCTTGCCTATACGAGGGATGAGGTGACTGAAAGAGGCGATATGTTTTGCGACCTCCAGCCTGCACCTCCTGGGGAAAATGTCGGGCCAACGTCCGAAGCAGTAGGTACTAAGTTAACGTTCTTAAAGCGGATTATTAAACACAAAATATTGTTAATGTTTTCAATTAACGGACTGGCAAAACGAACGCTTGCTGCGCTGGTCTTGACCACTCACTCCGAAATCCCGCGTTGTCCGGACACAAAGTCCAAGCACACCGTGCCAATATAGCAGGATACGGTACGTCCCACTAACTGAACTTAACTAGCTGCGGCTCCTCTGACCAGTGGCAGACCATCCCTGCCGGCCGCCGGCAGTATCCATGCATCGAGCACCGAACAGCAGCCAGCTGCAAACAATGTCGGGACCGCAGCCCGCTGTTCGCTGTGCGTCCAAATAACAGACACTCTTCTGGCACATTCCCCTGATGTGCTCCCCCTCCTCTCCCTCCCTTGCATATCCCCGGCCAAATCCCTAGGTACCGTCGGCAACACACGGCCCACGATGGAAGAGTTAACGCGCAGGGGCATGGTCATTCAGATCACCTAAAACATTGTTTGCTTTTCAACTCTGGCAGACGGCAGTTAGACTGATTTTACTTTAAAAACGGAATGCTATAATTTAGTGCAGGTACTGGTTTGTCATGAATATCCCCAAGATTATGTCATGACCCAGCTATCATATTATCGGTATCAAAGGGGAATGTTATTGCAAAGGTGATGATTTTTTTAAAAGTGCCATTTCTTACATGCTTTCAAAGAAAAGTTTATTTGAATAAGTAATGCAGCTCCCATACCAGTTACTCATGCATCTTCCATATCTCTAGAGAGGTGTTACTGGATGCTGCATGGGCAATGGGCATTGGGCATACTCCCCAACAAGATTCTACAATTTTCTTAACTTTTAAAGGGAGGAGCAGATCATGCCCCAAGTGTGGTCCTGTTGAATTCACTCCTTGGTTCACCAGTAAAAAGGCAATAAAGGGTCAGTCACTGGATGTAGGTACATACATACAGGGTGTCTCAAAAGTTCGTTGCCAGGTACCAGCCATGCTTTAACTTTTTTGTCAATAATTCTGAATCAACAAGAAATTAACAGTTGAAATTTTGCATGGGCATCGGTAACAACCTTCCTCAAGCAGTTTAACCCTATTAGTGGCAGGCTCCTGGCTACCCCCTATTAGTGGCAGGGGGGGGGGGCTGTTTACGACCCCCCCTTGATATCTCGAGATCTAACGGGCCGATTTTCAAAATTCAAACGGCATTCGATTTCGCTCAACGTGATCTACATTTCTAAAAAATAAAAATTAAAAAATGTCAATAGGGGGGGGTAGAGGGGGGTAAAAACGGGCAAATTGCAGATACATTTTAGACTGTTTATCACGGCCAGGTTTCTGAACCAATCTTAACGCAACTTTTGCCGATCGATAGAGAATGAACCAGGAATTCACATGGATCCTAAAAATATGCATTTTCAAAAATCATAGGCGGATACAGATCATTGAGATTGGGGGTACACAAAAAGTATAGTAAATAAGGTTTTTGTTGGTACTGTTTCTAAAAAGGGTAGTAATGGTCTTGTTATGTTATAATTTTCTTATGAGAGAACGACTAAAATTGTATTGGTAATGCATCGGCGGTGTCAGGGCACCTATGTTGGGAGGTAAAACATAACCCCCCTTTTTGGACGCCTGGATCCGCCTATTATAGCAAAAACGTGTCAAAAGAGGATGCACAATAACTGTATATGTTATCACATGATACCTTTTATTCACTGTTCGTAAAACTGGTGCAGCATCGTGATCTTCGCCCAAATGACTCGCTTCACGAATAGGACCCCCCAATTCCCAGTGCTCTGGGGCCGCCCCTGGTGAAGTTATTAACTTGAAATTTTCAGGGAATGTGCCCAATTTAGTTTTAGGAAAAGTCAGAAAATTTCAGCATCGTAGCTTCAGCGGTTTCGGAGATATTCCCGAAAAACCTGAGGGGTGGATAAAAACAACCCCCCTGCCACTAATAGGGTTAATTGTTTTCAAGCGCATTCGACCCTTCATGAGCTCACAAAAAGGGTTCACCTCTAACCATGGATCAGGCATGAAAATGGAGGTCGCAAAATCGGGTCGGCTGAGAAACTCTCTGCTTCATGAGTAATGGGAATGGTTAGGTCGGAAATGACACATGGCAAAGTGTCGGCGAGGATGAGTACAACATGATGATTATCTAACAAAAACGGTGGCTAAAGTTTTTGAAGGACAAAACCAAGCGAGACCAACAGCATTTTAAACGACCCTTTTACGGCAGCAGACTCGTGCTCCGGAAAGCAGCTGAAAATGCAGTCCTAACTATTGAAAACTGACTAGAAGAGCTCACAGACAGAGGTTACCCAGTTTCAAAAATTGCAGGTCATCATAAAACAAAGACAAAGTATCATTCAAAATTGTTTATCATATCTATAACGCTAAATTTTGGGGGAAAATAACACGAAAATCGTCAATGCCGAGGAGAAGTGACCCTCCAAAAGTGTCAATTAATGTAAAGTTTTATCCAACGAAGTTTCAAGAGTCAGATCTGGAGCAAATAGCTTTCATTTACACACAAAATCCGGACAAAACCGCACGATGGGCAGGTTTTGGCCGTTTACAAAGCAGAACCTCTCCTGAGGAAAACACTCCGGAACCCAGCAAAGGTCTTGGCATGGGGAATGACGAGCGTTTGGGATTTGCAAAATTTGCAAAATATGTCTAAGAAACAGATGGCCGACACATTCTACTACGATATGCTGCGAAAAATTTACCCCTGGCACTTCCCATTTGTTCAGGAATGGGGCTGTTTTGAAAAGAAAAATGGTGCTTGGGAGGTCGGCGCCAGTCATTCATGAAGGAGTTAGCGCCAGAGAAGACCTACAAAATACTCACGGATGGTATCGATGCAAGCTGTCGGCTTTCAGGGAGAAGCGGATGTTGCCGGGGAGCTCGTCAAACCTAAATACGACGCAGAAACTGCAGGAGATTCTCCTACAAGAGCTTGAAAGCTGGTAACCTTTTATCAGCCTCCGGTAGCTGACGGAGCGACGAAAATCGGTATTGGCAAATATTTTTGGAGATACATCAAAGGGTTTGGTTTCCAACCTTCCGAATCAGTTGTCAAAGCATGCATATTTGTTTAGTGTACACACAGACACCAAAACTTTAGATTTTTGGCTGGTTCTATATGCTTTATTGGCATGGGAAATATGTCAACGATTTTTTGAGACACCCTGTATTGAATGATAGGACACTGCAGTTTGTGCAATAGCTATTACAGTTTTTCACAGATATGGCATTGGCAAGGATCCCAGGACAACCAATCATGAAAACTGAAATGGCCCTTAGATTGACGGTCTTCAAGCTTGGGTTGGTGGAAAACATGGCTAATAGAAGGCTCTCAATGAGCAAACTATTCTGCTTTTCTTCAGAGTTGACAGTTCTGCGAAAATCCCTCAAAATCTACATATATCTCGATTCTCGGATCCATGATCCAGGATCCGAGATGGGTGTTAAGGGATGGATCTTGAGGGATGGGTCTTAAGGGACAAATCCATGATCCAGGCTCATGGATCTGAAATGGATCTTGAGGGATGGATCTTGAGGGATAATCTGGGATGATGGATCCAAGATGGATATTGAAGAATTTTCCCAGAACTATATGTAAACTAGTCTGAAAAAAAATTGGTTCATTGAAAGGCTTCTATTAGCCATTTTTCCACCATAATTCCAGACTTGAAGACCATCAATCTAATGATCATCTCAGTTTTCGTCATTGGTTGTCCTGGGATCCATGCCATGCCATGTCTGGTCTTCCATATCAAGCTTGCAGTTAAAGTGCCATGCTGAAAGCAGTACATAAACATGTAAATATAGCTCTTACATTTAAAGATGCAAATTATTGAGCAAAGAGGATTAATGACAGAATTTTGGCCAAAAGTTCATGGTGGAACAGACTATAGCTAGCATGTCCAATGGGAGAATAAAGTTCAGCAGTGAAAGCTGAACAAAGAATGGCTGTGTATACACTGGCAGAGTCTATACCATGACTCTGCAACCAGTAATCTTGTCTGCAACGAGTAGTAAAGTAATCTTGTCTGCAACAATTGAGCATGTTCATTTCATTTTCCCCAAATCCAAATAACTTGATGAATCAGATATTAACATCAACATTGTATGGAGTAGGCATGCCTGAAATTCTGCATGCATGGCTCAAGCAGTAAAAGTGTAGAAGTCCAAATGAAGATAAAAACATAATCTAACCTGATCTAACCTTACCTACAGGTACTAGCCTACAACCTACCAGTAAGTACCAGCCTACAACTTACATTGACCCTATTCATAAATCTTTGAGCAAAACTCTGACTGTTTTGCATAAAAATTTAAGGGGACACTTCACTTTTGTCACCTTTCTGGCAAATCAAGGGTCACAGTGCACTCCCTCACCACACCCCTGACCCCATTCCTCCTATGCTTCAAAGTTCAAAGGACCCTACCCCATATGCTCAGGGATGACTGAAGCTGGGTCCAAAAGTGATGGTGGAACACACTGTTAGTGCCCCTTCTTTCTTCAAGCGTGGGAGGGGGGGGACACTGATGCAGCTAGTGACTGTTCTTCGTGGGACTCAAATTCATGGCCCTCTGACCAGTGTTCATACATTTTTGGGCAAAAATCTGGCTTTTGTATAAAATTTGAGGGGGTATTATACTACTGGTGTGAAAGGGAGGTTTCCTTAAATTATTATTAATAGGAAAATGGCTTGAACAATAGATGAGCACAATTGCTGAAATTTTGGGCATAAAACAATCATGAATCCATTGAAAAAACTTATTTCGGGAAAGTGAGCCGTATTTCCTTTTAAAGAAAATACCAAGGTAATTGGAGTTTGTTAGTGACCTGAAGGCCATACCTGATCTTTTTAGCATTAAATGATTGTAAAAACAATTTTCTAGGTTGATACATGGTTTGTGACAGTATGATGTGGTTTTTATTCAATTTTGAGCCGCCATTAGTAGTGCAGACGTCACACGAAGGTTTTCCACCCGAGGAGAGGCGCTGTAGGTTTGTAGGTTGTGGGGTAGGTTTGTAGGTTGTAGGTTAGGTTAGGTTAGGTTTATTTAGGCTTTCCTAGAAAGAAGCACCTCCGTGTATTGGTATGGCGCCTCTCCTTGGTTGGAAAACCTTCGTGTGATGTCTGCTCTACCACTACCTTTTGAGCCTAGGGTGCAAAAGAGTGATTTGACCCAAACTGGTTTGTAGGTAAGTACTGCCAGTGCATTTTAATTAAATAAAAACATGCAAACTACGCAAGACAAAACTCACCAAAAATGCAGAAATACTAACACCAATGGAGACTTGGCATCCATTAGTGTGTATAATTACCGAAGATTCTTACAGATATTAATTACCCGTGCAATCACCTTGCAATTGCCCAAGATTACTTGCAATTACCGTTTCTTACAGGTATCTTGCAATTACCTACCCGTGTGTTGTGCCCGTGTGCACGTGCGCTGCGCGCATCGCGTGCATTGCGAAACCGCTGTTCGATAGCATGTTTTAATATATTATCCTGGTAACGACAGGTTGCTAGGCAACTGCGGAGCGACAACCCACGACGGGGGATCCGTGTAGCGGATCCGCCAAGGCAGGATTGAGGATCCGTCACAGTAGTTTTGACATGGATGAAGGAGAACCTTCGTCCATGGTTTTGAGATGGGGGGACTATATACCGTGGGGGGGGGGGGGGGTCTAGGGTCCTACACAAAACACAGAACCTCACTGCTCTCAGCACTGGCGGATCTTGAGCGCGTGGGGGGGGCAAACCTATAGGGTAGGTAGCAGAGTAGTAGGTAGTAGCTCAGTAAACATGCCGACGCCGGCCCGACGTCGGGCCGAGACTCGGCCCGGCGTCGGCTGGAGCCTAGACCTCGGCCCGACGTCGGCTGGACGGCGGGTACGCCCGCATGTACCGACGTCCAGCCGAGGTCCCGCCGACGTCGGACCGACGCCGGGCCGAGATTGTTTACCGAGGTTAAGACGTCGGCCCGACATCTCCCCGCTGGCAACCCGACGCTCAGCTGAAGTTCTGCCGAGGTATAGCCGACGTCGCCGGCCCAACATCTCCCCGCTGTCAACCCGACGCTCAGCCGAGGTACAGCCGACGTCTTCCCGCTATCAACCCGAGGTACAACCGACGTCGGACCGTCGCCCAGCCGACGTTCAGCCGACATCCAACCGACGTCCCCCCGCTGTAAAACCGACATCCCCCCCCCCCCCCCTATCAACCCGACGTCCCGCCGAGGTTCAGCCGACGTCTCTCCGCTGTGATCAGCACTCGCCAAAAGCCATAGGTACGTTCTAAAAATTAAGACATGGATATACCATCCCGTTTCCTTCACGTCAGTCATTCTATCTCGCTGCATCTTGACGATGCGCGTTAAAATAATATAAAATGCATGTTCCATAAAGACATTCTGTATTTGTATAAAATACCTGTGTGCGAACTTGCACATATTGCACTTGCTCACACAGCCTCAAAGTTCAAACTACTGCTGATAGGCGCCACCCTTCTTGCGGCTCCCCGGCGCCCGGTTCACCGCGCGTTATGTACAACCAGAGTATGGTCTGAGTCTGACCCTCGGTAGTGGGAGCGTCAACTCCAAACTTGCTGCTTGCCGCGCCTATAACGACAGCAAGATAATAGAAACGAATTACCATAAACAACAACAAATACCATGATAATATACTAAGTACGCATGGACGAGAAGTAGGTAACAGTGAACGTGAGAGATATGATGACCAATAGAGCTAGCCATTAAGCAAGTGACATGAAATAATTAAATGTGCAACAAAACAATCAGTCATGTGGCGCTAAACCGGTTGTTAAGTCTCAAATGCATATAAAGACTTGTTTCAGCTCAATCACTGTATTGGCTCAAGTCATGGTAAGCGAGCTCAATACCACACCAGCCACCGGACCACGGCGAGGTCCCCAACTCACTGACTCGCCCAGTCCACCGGGGCCGGCGCCACGACAGCCCCCCGCAAGTAGGCAGCCCGCACTGCACCGGCAGCCGCGGGCGGCCAGCTGACCAGCCAGCAGCCGGCGGGCGGCAAGCCGCGAACGGCCGACCCCGCGGCGCGGCGAGGAAGGGGACGGACGCAGCTCAAAGACTCGACTACACATATTTGTTCATGTCTTACCGAGGATGACGTCCATGAGCTTGGTGCCACTTAGCCGTCCCTTTCCTTTGGCACCAGTTAAGTTGTACTGGGTGGCCAGCCCGTCACTCATCACGACCGTTCCGTGCTTCTATCCTCAGGCAACTAGCATCCGCCGCAACCCCCCCTCCGGGCTGGACAGGCAACTTTATCTCATGCGGGCTGCTCCCTTGGAGCGGCATCGCTGCTCCCGAGGGAGCGCACCCCGTAGCCGGGTGCAGTGAATGCCTTGGGGCTGGGTGGCGTGTCCTCTGGACGGGCTCAGCCCCGGCGACTCACTAGGGTGCCTGCCCAGAGCAATGTCTCCCCCTATATCCTATCATCCTCCCGGCTCTGAAATGGTCTCACTGGACCGAAAGGGCCTAACCCAACAAAACAAACAAAACACTCATCACGCGAGGCATCCAGCTCCACACGGCATTGCGGACGTCCTTGCCACCAGGGGCGGAGCTTCCTATACAGTTGGGTGGGGCGCCCCACCAACTTGCCATTTTGCCCCACCAATAAGCGTTTTGCCCAACGAACTTAAGCTGATTTCTAAGGCTTTGTTCCTTTGTAAAAGAATCTTTATCGCTTAAAGAGCTTCGGAATGTATATTTAATGCACAATATATTATATCTGTAATGATTGGAATTGATTCAGTGTGGCATTTTATTCAACTTGATACCTAATCGGACATTGTGGGTTTGACGACTTTTTGCCCCACCAACTTCCCTGGGAAAGCTTCACCCATGCTTGCCACCTATTGTCATCAGGAGCTTCTTAGGAAGAATTTAAAAATTATAATTAGCTTTATAGCACAGGACGTTGTGGATAGCATTGCACACTGCACTGCTGCTTAGTGAAAGAAAATGATTTGTTAGAACAAAGAACGTTGATGCCATTAGGTACAAACAAACTTGATAAATGGGGAGATGCAAATTATCTAAACGTGTATTCTAGATACGTCCCGAAGGCAATAGGACTTCCAACCTAAACATTCGCCGACCACGCCGAACCGCCGTTCGAAAGGTCCACAAAATTGTGCGTGTTTCGTTTCTTAACCTGAAACGCTGCAGAACGGTATTAATTCAAACCCAGTTAATGCTCAAGCTAATTCGGGTGGTTGCTCTGCAGCAGAAAATCGAAAAATAGCAGAAGAAAGCCTTAGAGCTGTGGAGCAAGGCTACCTTTTACACAAACTAGAGGTACAGGTTTACGCGATAACTGTATGTTTTGAGTTATGTTATGTTACGGGTGCATTCGTTTGGGTGATTGACTTGTATTTTTAGCTGTATTATTTGGGTAGATTTGGGTAGCTGTTTTTAATTGAACTGTAAGGGATGGTGATAGTTGCGGAGTGTTCAAGTGTTTTGTATGTTGGGCCCTTTTTGAACACAACCATACCCTACCCTACCCCTACCCTACCCTACCCTACCCCTACCCTACCCTACCCTACCCTACCCTACCCTACTCCTACACTACCCTACCCTACCCTACCCTACCCCTTCCCCTACCCTACCCTACCTACCCTACCTACCCTACCCTACCCTACACTACCCTATCCTACCCTACCCTACCCTACCCTACCCTACCCTACCCTACACTACCCCTACCCTACCCTACCCTACCCTACCCCTTCCCCTACCCTACCATACCCTACCTACCCTACCTACCCTACCCTACCCTACCTAACTCTACCCTACCCTACCCTACCATACCCTACCCTAGTCCCTACCCTACCCTACCCTACCCTAACCTATCCCTACCCTACCCTACCCTACCATACCCTACCCTACCCCTACCCTACCCTACCCTACCTTACCCTACCTTACCTTACCCTACCCTACCCTACCCTACCCTACCCCTACACTACCCTACCCTAACCTACCCCTACACTACACTACACTACACTCAACTACCCTACCCTACCCTACTCTACCTACCCTACACTACACTGCCACCGACAATCCAAGTTTCAGCAGTTTCAGCTAAATCGACCCAGAAACGGCTGAGATATTGCAAAAACAAATTAATTGTATTTACTGGCGAATCCCCTTGGCGAGCGGTGCCTTGTGTCGGCCTTGGTTGTCAAAGGTCAACGACCTCCCGGCTCTGATGCTTTTCACTCAGTTTTCTAAGCGAACATCTGAGCCTAAAGCACGTGCCTTCTGCTCGGCGCCGGTCGCGGCCGCACCACGTGCACACCGCTGAACCCACACCCTTGAAATTTTATACAATTGAGTGCACGCGTCCGACTTACAGCGATAATTTCAGCCCCGTAGCCCTTACCGTTCCCGAGCAATAGCCTGTTGCCGATTCTAGTGTAAACCCTATGGCACACCACGTGAGCACGCGCCACGGGCGCACCCCTGACCGCATCGTGCCCAAAATTTAATACGACCTGTTGAATGACGCGACCCACGAGTGGCAAAAATTTCACCCTCCTGCGTCAATCGGCGGCGCCGCAATAAGCCTTTTTGGGCGTAACCCCGACGGCGGACTTTTTAGGATTTATAATAACTAGAGGTACAGGTTCACGCGATAACTGTATGTTTTGATATGTATGATTAACGGATGCATTAGTTTGGGTGAAGAAAGTTGCATTTTTATTGGTATTATTTGTGTAGAACTTGGTAACTGCTTTTAATTGAACTGTAAAGTATGATGGTGATGCATGCGAGTTGTGCGAGCCCTTTGTAAGTTAGGATGTTACTCAATGCAACCCTACCCTACCCTACCCTACCCCTACACTACCCTACCCTACTCTACCCTACCCTACCCTACCCTACCCTACCCTACTCCTACACTACCCTACCCTACCCTACCCCTACCCTACCCTACCCTACCCTACCCTACTCCTACACTACCCTACCCTACCCTACCCTACTCCTACACTAACCTACCCTACCCCTACCCCTACCCCTACCCTACCCTACCCTTACACTACCCAACCCTACCCTACCCTACCCTACCCTACCCTACCCTACCCTACCCTACCCTACTCTACCCTACCCTACCCTACCCTACCCCTACACTACCCTACCCTACCCTACCCCTATCCTACCCTACCATACCCCTACCATACCCTACCACACTACCCTACCCTACCCTACCCTACCCCTACCCTACCCTACCCTACCCTACCCTACCCTACCCTACACTACCATACCCTACCCTACCTTACCCTACCCTAACCCTACCCCTACACTGCCCTACCCTACCCTACCCCTACCCTACCCTTCCCTACCCCACCCTACCCCTACACTACCCTACCCTACCCTACCCCTACCCTACCCTACCCT